TGGGAGAATTGAAAAAATCTCGTGGCAAAGTGCTGCAGTTTTCAACTCCTGCTCTTAGAGCAAAATCGCAAGGAAAGGCCAGAGGCGAGAAATGAAAACCTCGGACATGTGCCTCTCGTACCCCTCGGTGCCCCGTGGGGTCTGTCTGCAGCCTTGCTCCGTGTTTTACTCGGTGACAAACAGAGCGAGGGGAACTTCACCTTGAATTTTTTCATTCTCATGCCTCAGTTTTATGTTTGGAGTGCCTGGTGCCATTCCAGTGGGTGTTTCTGATTCTGAGTTAGCCTCAGGGATTATGTCGGTAGTGAGCCACACGTACTGGCCAAGTTTGTCTTTCCTGAGATTTTTACTGGCTTGCATCTCTCTCTTGTACTTGGTATTCTGTCCTACAAATTAACTTGCTCTGGACTCTCTGTGCTGTATTCAGCAGCATTCTCCTTCCTGCTCTGCGTCCCCCAGCAATTGCTTTTGTCTTTGCTTCATCTTTCTTTGTTCAGTGTCTCCCTCAGTATCCTTTCTGCTCCATCCACTAGTTCAGTCAATATTTTTCATTTAGTCTGTTGCTTCCTCTTCTGGCCACGCTGTACTCTTAATAAAGGCGAGACCTAGTGTGGAATTTTGTGACGCTCAACTTTCCTGCCTAGGTGGCTGATAATTCATTTCCTGTGAAGAAGTCACTGTGATGTATTTCTGTGTATTTTTCAGCTTACAGCTAGGTTAATAAGTATGAATGTGATGTTACCTTTTGTTGAGAAAGTGTTTTCTCAGATCAATTTATATATGTTAAATCATTTTTTTTTTTCCTTTTCTTTCTCTATTTCTCACCCACTCACCCACCCTCTCCTGCAGGTGGAAGAAGTAAGAAAAGGGGAACTCATATTAGCTGTGGTTCTTAACTAGTCCTGGTTACATCGTGAAAAATATGAAGGAGAAAATCTTCTAGGATGGGAGCAAACCAAACTGTTGGCTTCAAGCTAGCAGACTGCAGCAGAGACAGGGAATCAGTAGGCAAGATCTTGTCTAGATTTGAGGAGAGGAAGAAACAACTTGTGTAAGAGTTTTCCTGAGGTCTCTCTTCTTGAGGTTACATGTAATTTTGAAGGCTCTTCCTTTCAAATGCCTAGAAACATAGCACTAAAGGATTAGTTCGAGCAACTCTCTCTCGTGGCCAGAGAGCCTTGGAAGTATTTTCACTGTTACAGCAGGACCAGCAGAGGGAACACAGGTGTTGTTTCTTGTAGGATCCATAAAAGTCATGGGGAAAAAAACATATCTTAGAAGTATTAATGAAATGAAATGTTCCAAATACTGATGTCTCAGGGGCTGGTGTTCTGCTGTTGTCCCTTGTATGGTACTTTCCGAGGTGTTTGCTCTTGGATTTTGATTTAATACGTTTGATCCTTCTCTGTCACCACTTCTTTTACGTTTTTTCCCGTTGCCGCTTTAGTTTTGTTTCTGTTCTTCTCTGTGTTTGCTGCCGGATGTGTTGGCTTGAATATTTTATTGGGCAGGAGACTTTATAATGGCCTTGACAGAGATTTTATCAATTACATTTTCTGTCTAATGGATAGCAACATTTTCTATCTAATGGATAACAGCCATTATTACAGTGTCATACAAGCTTCTGGCTTGGTTTGTGTTTTAAGTTGTACATGCTGAAATCTTGCTGAAGTTACTCCGAGTTGCTGGAAGAATTTAGTTTCAGTGATGGTCTGTTACTACAGTATGCTCCCTGATCATTTGTGGAAGTACACAGAGTTGTTCGCGTGGTCGGAGTTCGTTTTAACAAACTCACAGATGGTAAGTGCCGTTATAAGACACACACACACACAAAAAGGAAGCACACTCTAAACGTGGCACTGATACGTGAGGAAGAGGTAAAAGAGTCGGAGAGAGCGTGGTTGGAAGGAAAAGACAGGAAAAAAAACCCCCAACCCTTTTTTTTTAATCATCTCTGGGAATTTTGAGTAAATGAATTATCAACCATGATAGCCCCTGGCTGGGGCAACACAGGGATGGACCTTTTACAAAGCGTTGGAGAAATTTGATGTGTGTGCCAGCGAAGCGATTGCTCCCATCGCTGGAGTGGACTCTCTGATTTAGTGTGTCAGATCCTTTAAATGAACATGATATGCCAAATGAAATAATGGGCACAAATTGAGCTTGCATCCCGAGTTTATTCATCACTTAATAAATTATTTCTGCAGCTAGCTTTCAATTACCAGGAAAATGGAAAAAGCAGATGTCTCAGGCATCAAATATCCCAGCATTAAACGTTTCATTTGTCTCCCTGTTCAGTAGCTCCACGGAGGCGTAGAAGTAGTTTGAAATTTCGCGCTGGGAAAAGCTGACTAGAAGACAAGAGTCATTTAACTTGTCATTAAATGTGATGGAACGGGCTGATGTGACCTGCGAGACATTTTAAATGATTGGCTTCTAATCAAACGGTAGAAATGCTCTGTCAGAGAAATTTGACTGTGATGGATTGTTAGTTGTGTCAGAGCAGTGGGAACAGTTCTGTTCTCTTTGTGGCTGCTTGTTTCTTTCTTCTGCCAAATGCCCCCCAACTCTGAACCCAAACCCATTTTAAATGAATTGCTCGAAGACCTGGTGAACTGGTTGCAACCTGAAAGTTGTTTGCAGTGACTGGTTCCAGGACCAGTCTCGTGTGTTTGGCACAGGACAAGCCCCCGGCGGGCAGGACGGCTCCCGTGGTGCTCACAGCCGCCCTCCCGCCGGGGCTGGGAGCTCCCCGGGCTGGGACCACCTTGGCTTCAGCATCAGTCGCCTCGGGTTGTTCCAGCTGACACCAGGTAGGCACAGGCAGAAGGTGTTACGAGGACAGAGGATTACTTTGAGCATTCAGCTCTTTTTAGGTAGTGCCCTGCACCAGGAGCTGGTGGAAAGGCATCTCTTACCAGAATACAGTTAATTTCTATCTGCCTGGCACTGCCGGAGGGAGCCAAATAATCAAACTTATTTGTTCCTTTCCAAAGACTATTCCTGTGTAAAAGCATAGCATGGGCGATAAAATATCCTTCCCTGGAGGTCCTTCAGGAGGTGAGTCTGATCCCATGGTTGGATAAATCCAGCTGGTCTCGATTTGTCAGGAGTGGGGAGGTTGCCGTGCTGGTGCTGGGGTGCAGCGCTTCCATTTTCCAGTCCAGAGGTGCTCCCTCTTCCTCTGTTGTGAAATGAGTTCTGTGCAGGGTTTGTAAAGTGCTTTGATAATCTCTGTAGATGAAAGGTGTTATATAAATGCAAATTTCATTCCCTTCATTTCAATTTCATTTAATAAATAAATAAATTGCCCAGGTTTGGGCGGGACCTCATACTGCATCTGTATTCTGGATATACCAGTGGAGAGGGGTTAAGGCCACTGATTGTCTTTCAGAGCCTAACAGAATTAATTTTCCCTTGTACAAAACCCGAGTTTGCAGGCTGAATAGTAATGAAATAAGTGAGGAATCCACTGGCTCTGTTAAATTGGGTATCTATCTCATCCCTAGCAGTAAGGAAACAGAAAGCATGCATTGCTCGATTAGCATTTTAAATTAATTTTTCAGGGCTATTTACTGAGGAAACTGAAATTTTAATTGAAGTAGCAAATAGAGTAATTCACTTGAAGTTTTATGAGATTCTTTTTCCTGTCATATAAAAAAAAAAAAATCCAGGGCTTAAAGCAACATCTTTAAAGCAAGAAAAATTACACTTAGAGTAAAGAGCAAGTAGTTTCCGCAAAACAATGTGGTTCTTTCAATGAGTGAATGGTACTGAGGTCATGGGGTGATGAGGGTGGGAGATATTTCCTACAAATGTGTCCTAAATGGTCAGAAATATGTCATGTTTATTTGAAAAAGATGTAACCTAATAGTAGAAGAGATTCCTGTGAACATATTCCCTATGGCATTTGATTAATGGCATCTACGTGGAGTTGCAGGTAAAATGGGATTTGGATTGAGAAAAGGGGCTGTGTTTAAAGCAACAGGTGTGGAAAATAAGCACCTTTTTAACACAGAACTGGGGTTGGTATAACATGGATACAAACATTTGATTTCTAACAACTTTTTTTTTTTTCCTTTCGATTGTTGGTGCTGCTAATTCTTGGGACTTTTGTCCTTACTGCTGGTAGTTGCTTTTTTAAAAACCATTTGGCTCCTCTTGGAAACACTTGCTGTTAGTAACTGGCAGTGCTTTTTCAGAGCTCTTCAGAATGTTTTAAAAAAACCCTGTTCTTTTTGGTAATAAAAAACTATACAGTCTTCTAATTTATGGTGAAATCTTGTGTGAATGGGAAAAGAAGCTCTTAACTTGTTGGAATACTCAGTATTGCTGAAATAATTGCCTTGGTCCTTAATAACTGAAATATGTATGCTCAACAATTAATTAAATTGTAAGATTTTCTTTTAAATACAGGCTAGTAGTACCAGAAAGGATTTAATACTGCACAATTAGTACATATAACTGAATATATAAAAATCTGTGACCCCTAGTGTTTCTCTTTTTTTTTTTTTTTTTTTCTTTCCTTAGTGGGTTGCTTATGACTCATTAAATTTAGGAGGAAAAAACCACAAACTGACCCAAAACACTGTTTATTTCCTTCCCAGCTGTAGCACTTGCTGTTGCTGTGCCTTCCTATGCCAGGACAAAGTGGCTCTTAATGCAATTTTATTCCCTGTAATATTATTTTAAATTACGAAAGAGTCCTGCCGTAATCGTGGCTGATAACAAGCTCAGAGCTTCTCAGTCTTTGGAGTTTCTAGAAACCTTCCCCGCTTTGTTGACGCCTCGAACGTTACAGAGTCCAGAACGGCTGAAAATATTCTTCATTTTGCAACCAAAACACAGCGCGTGTTTCCTTTTGACAGTCAAAAGAGTCGTGGAGGGGTTTGAATTCAGGGTTCTTGGATGGTTTGTGCTTGAGGGGAGGGTTTTGAGACGTGAGGAGTGAATGAGCGTGGCCGGTTTGCTTCAGAACTTGTCTCCTGTCTCTTTTCCAGTTTCCTTTCGGCCGGCGCCTGCCGTGTGATATCTATTGGCATGGGGTGTCCTTTCATGATAACGATATATTCTCAGGTCAAGTCAACAAGTTTCCAGGTACCTTCTTTTGTTTCTGCTTTCAACAACTGCTTTAAAAAATGGGTCTGTTCTAACTGTTTCTGTGGTTTACTGTTTTTAATGTGAATTATCTGCCAAATCAGCTGCCAGTAGCCTCAGCATATTGCTGGGTTTGGTGATTTCTGCCTGGGGGGTGAGAATATCAGAATGGGTGTCTTGTTCTGAACTGAAACTTGTTCTGGAGATCAAGTGTCTTTGATGAAAAGAATACTTCATATGCATGAACTTAGGGAAAATAAGAGTGTTGGACATTTAAGCCAATTGTGCAATTATTGCCTGTTACCTAGCACTGATCGGGGGTTGTATCTTTGGGTTTGGTTTTGTTTCCAAGTGGAAGGAATCTGCTTTGTTTCGTACTCTGGCCTGTCTCGGGGAGAAGCTCGAAGCGGAGCTCTTCAGATGGATTTTTTAATATTGAAGAGTTCATGTCAGCCCTCATGTTATGATGACTCTTCTACTTTTATAAGCTCCCCTTTTCCTTATTTAATCCCTGCTGAGATCTCTCTAAATAAGAGCTAAGAGCTTAGGTATTGACTTCTCTAAGCCCTTTACTGCAGATTTATTGCTGCTGTTAGTATGCCGTGAGAATGAGAGCCCTCAGATATTGAGCTTTATGCTTTATTTACCGTGACTTTCTCCTGTCTGTGGGAAGTTCACATTGGAGTCTCGGATGGTGTCGTTTTCTGGTGACGTGAGCCGTGTTCGGTGTTACCCTCTTGGTATTCTGCCTTCTAGGTGGTGAGCAAGTGGCCAGCACAGTGGTCAAAACCAGACAGTGCTAGAACTAGACCTAAACCTGATTTCCAGGAACACTGTCCTGACACGATGCTGGGTTTTACTAAATTCTTGCTCCCGAAGAAGAGGTCTTGATGCTTCTCTCAGTTACTTGGGGGAGATTCAAAGAATCTGAAAGGGTTGGTCCTCAGAAAGACGTAGAAACTTTTCCATGAAAATAGCATTTTAGTCACCCTCCTGATGGAAATAATTCACAAATGTGGGGGGGTGTGTGTGCCTTGTCGCTTTCTCTTCTCCTTGTAGCTTTGGAACCTCCTGGCCAAACCCAGCTGCGTTCGGCAGAGGTTTGCAGTCACAGGCTGTTGGGTTCCTGTAGGTTTTGTGGACATTTTTAGCCGGTGTAGCACAGAACCCCCCAGAGGATGTTCAAACGGCAGCAGGAACTGAGCTGTAATACGGGAAAGCGTATAAGCAACGCAGGAGTAACCCTGAATGCCCCGGCCTGAGGAGGAGCTACAGAGCTCACACGGATCTGGAAAGGGCGTGATCCAAGCACGAGATTCAAAGCTGCAGGGAAGCAGGCTGCTCGCAAAATAAGCTATTCTTTCTGATGGGCAGAAATAATCTATGAGCAGAAATAATCTATTTTCTGGTGTGCAGAAATAATCTATTTTCTGATGGGCAGAAATTATTCTTTCTGAATGCAAAGTAGACACAAAGTGGTTGATCGTGTGTAAAGGATGTTTTTACTTGTTCCTGAAGCGATAGCGGGGTGGGGCAATAATTTTGGATTATGCTGAGGACAGTTGCTGTCTGGCTAAATCTTTCCCTCTTTTATTCTGAGCTGTGTGTTTTTACCTGTTCCTGAAGCGTTAGCAGGATGGGGCAATAATTTTGGATTACGGCAAAGACAGTTGCTGTTCAGCTAAATCTTTCCCTCTTTTATTCTGAGCTGTAATTTTTGATAATTATTTCTTTTTTTTCTAATAAGATACAGTAACACATACAGTATGAAATATGGCAGGGGAATGCTTCAAAGTCATATTTTAAAAGATTTTCAGCTTTATTGAAAGCAATGTCTAGAGTGTCTACCAATAGGGTGAGTAGTGATATAACAATTTACTTTTTCTTTTTTTCTAATAAGATACAGTAACATATACAATATGAAATATGGCAGGGGAATGACTTAGTCATATTTTAAAAGGTTTTCAGCTTTATTGAAAGCAATATCTAGAGTGTCCACCAGTAGGGTGAGTAGTGATATAACAATTTACTTTTAGGATGAGACTTCAGTTGGGATTTTTGACCGCTTTTCGACACTGTCTGTTCTTTCCCCCTAATAAGATACAGTAACATATACAATATGAAATATGGCAGGGGAATGACTTAGTCATATTTTAAAAGGTTTTCAGCTTTATTGAAAGCAATATCTAGAGTGTCCACCAGTAGGGTGAGTAGTGATATAACAATTTACTTTTAGGATGAGACTTCAGTTGGGATTTTTGACCGCTTTTCGACACTGTCTGTTCTTTCCCCAGGCATGACAGAAATGGTACGTAAAATTACACTGAGTCGGGCAGTGCGAACAATGCAAGATCTGTTTCCTCTTGAGTATAACTTCTACCCTCGATCCTGGATTCTGCCAGAAGAATTTCCTCTCTTTGTGGCTGAGGTAGATTTCTTTTACTCTCCGAATCCTCTAACTTGTTGCATGTTGTTGCTGTGTCATTCTTTAGTTTTTTGCACCTTCCGGATTATTTTAAATTTTAAATTTAAATCATTTTAAATTGCGCTTGATTGCTGTGGATGAAATCTTTTTCAGCTTGCCGGAGATCGGATGTAGTCTGGGTGAACTGCTTCTGTTTGTTATGTTCAAGAATAAACTTAAAAAGTTATGCTGCTCTGTAATGCCAGAAGAGATGTCTCAAAATGAAACATGGTGGAACCATAAGCCCTTTCCCTGCATATTCGGAGTGTCAAAGGGCTGAGAAGGTTCCAGCACAGCAGCACGTGAAGTGAGGGACCTCACCAGATTCACTGTCACTGAAGTCTTTTTAGTCCATCCTGCCTGTTTCTGTCCGAATCCTTCGAAAGAGCCTTTTGCACTGTGTGTTCTTAAATATACTGGCGTCTTCCCGAATAGTTGTTTGAATTTCCTATCAGACTGTTGCTTTAAGTATTCAGGACATAATAAAATGCCATTCTTTTCCAGCTCTTTTTAAGGGAAGGAAAAAAAAAAAGTGATGCTGCATGTTGAAGTTGGGCTCTGTTATTACAAATATTTTTAAAAATGTTGTCTGTGTTTGTTTTAACCCTGACCTGCCTAGTGGGTTCTTGCGCTCTACAGTATCCTCTGCTTGGAAAAGCAAGGGAAGGTATCAGCTTTAATAGACTTCTCTGCTGTGCATTGCTTTTTAGGTAATTACCATATCCACAACCCAATTAAATCCATGAACACCTTTTAATATATATACTTCAAGTATGCTGGATCGCTGCTATAGCACTGCTTGTAACGGTAAAAGCAAATAAACTCCCCACAGTGCTTCAGCCTCACTGCTTTCGTTGTAGGACCTGTTTGTAAAAGGAGCGTAAATCAGCCGATCAGTTTAGCAGTGGCAGGTAGAGAAGTGTGAAATAACTCGGAAGTCAACTTTGGGAATGGTGCCCTGGGGTTCCGGCGAGGGCTCTCAGGGGAATGGTGCCGAGGCGGCGCTCAGCTGAGCAACGGGGTGCTGGGTACGGCAGGGTGCTCTGTACAGCAGGTGGCACTGCGAATAAATACTTTTCTCTGGTTGAACAGTTAGTGGAGTGAAAAAGGATTCGTTTTTTTGTTCCAAGAATAACAGATGCCCGGTAACACACTCCGAGGAGTTTCCTTTGCATATGTTCTTCCATCTGTGTTTGAGAAAAGCATAGTTCTTGTTATCAAACATGATCTTCTATGTTGTAAGAGTTTATGTTCTACTTAAGGTGGGTTTGTAATGTAACCCCTGCAAAACAAGAAAAAAGACAAACCACAAAAATCCAGCCCCACTGTGAACCATAAACAGTTCAGAACCCTTTTCACTTGCAGTTTCGTGCATTCTCAGTGGGAGCCTCTCATTTTTTTCCTGTTGTTTATTTCTTCATAGACATGATTTAGCCATCTTTGGTACTCCTGGAAGTAAAGCTGTGTTGTCAGGGGCTGCGGCTACTAAGCACGTGGTTCTAGATGTGTTACGCTGAAAGCCGGGGTGGAGTACCTTCACCATTATTAGTGTGCAAGTCCTTCAGGACATAGTTAATTACCAAAAGTCACAAATACTGTGTTGGTGGAGGTTAGATGTGAGAAGATGGTTTGGTGCCGTTTGTAGCAGAGGATTTCGTTGCAAAGGGCTGGGCTGAGAAATGAATGTTCTGTGGGATTTTGCCTGCGATGGAAATGAGTGCTGAAAGAAGAAACTCCTTGAGAGTTTCAGTCTCGCTGCCTCCTCCTGAGGCACTGCAGCATTTCAGAACAGAGTTTCTCTCGAATATTCGTATTGTGCCTCACTTCTGCAGACATGGTCGTAAACTTTTAGCACATGTTTTTATCAATCATTAAATCAAATGCTGTCAGGTTTTCCCACGTTTTCCTTATAGGTAAATCCGGTTAGAAGACACTACAGCTAATATAACATTAATCACGTGTGCTTTAAAACCAGTAATTGATAGGAAAGCTGCACTTGAGTTTTTTGTGTATGAGCTTTGTGTTGGGAAATACCAAGAAATTGGTACTTCTCTTAGTGCCATTTGTATTGAAATTAAATGGTGATAAGTATTTTTAACAAGGGCTTAGAAGTTCAATTTACTAAGTAAATACATACTTATTCACCTGCTTTCTACCGTCTAAAACATTTGGTACTAACATGTCACCGTAACAGAAGATAAATTACAGATTCTCTCAAGTGCTGTGGCAATCACCCCTCTGCTAACAGAGAAGAATCTGTTGGAATCTGTGTGCTAAGAACTTACTTCTAATGGGCATTTCCAATTTCTGAGAAGTAGCTAGCTTGGAATTCAAGCCAGGACCTTGATTGCTCTCATACTGCCTTCTTTGTGTTGTCTCTGAGGGTGATGAATAGGCCTCGTATGATAAATTTTTAATAAGAATCTAATTTGGGCTGTCTGACTTCCAGCATGGCATATTTTTGGTGGTTTAATCAGGTTTTCAGCTTTTGGATACCTCTTAGGCATAGACGTAAATATTGTAGTCTTTGTGCTGTCGAATCTTATAGCCCATTATATGCGTTTATTTTAGAACACTGTATTCATTCAGCCTCTCATGAAAGACACGTGCAGCAGGATCAGATTTTCATACCATTAGACATCATGCTCTTGACTTGCTGTTGACTGTAAACCATTCCCATGTTTTTAAAGGTAATTTCCTTCTGTCGAGCTAAGTAAGCAGAAGTATCTAATTTCATATGAACTCATTTTCCGACACGACTGAATTTTCGAAGCCTGGACAAGACTTCGCATAATGAGAATTGGAAAGAATATAGTTGAGGGGATTGTGGAGAGTTTGAAGACGACTGTCAGGAATTTCCTTGAAGATGAAGAAACCGTCTGTTTTCTTCAAGACAGTCAATCTGCTGAAAACCAGACTGACTCTGGATTACTACTTCTCTTTTCCCCACCACCCTATCTTCATCTGCCGTGTGTATGCTTAGATGGACTAGAAGGCCTGAATATATCCAGACCTTCTAGTCCATCAAAAAACCCCCTAGAAAATCATGAAGAATTTTTTTCCGCTCTAGCTAGATATAAAGAGTTAAGTGTGAGATCTCTTGAGACCATTGATTGCCAAATGCAGTACTTCAGAGCAAGTTGCTGTTGCTTCTTTACCAGTAGTCCCCAGGAGTGGGAGGCAGATCGCCCCAGCTGGTTTCATCGAGGTACTTTATTACTTTCTCTCGTCGTAGACCGTGATTGGCACTTGGCACGTACAACTGGAGTCATAGCAGGGTATGTTTAGTCATGGAGATTTAAGATTAACCAAGTATCTTTCTGGGATGCTGACCTTAACAACGGTGAGCCAGATGAACTCCTCTAGGATGCAGAGTAATGTCACGTCAGGGGAAGATTAGTCTTTAGTCGTCCAAAGACGAGGGCGTAAATCCTGCTTTCCTTCTTTGCACATCTAGGCCTGCTGATCTCCTTGGGCCTCTTTATCCACACGCCATTTTATGTAATTCTGATCTCCGTTGTTCGTCCTGCCCCACAAAGTGACCTGTTTGGAGGAAGGATCCTTCACTGAGTTGGCTTCATACCTGTCCACCATAAAAATCCTAGTCTAAATAATTAATCTTGAATTTCTGCTCTAGTTAGTAGGATGGCTTTCAGCAACGTGATTCCCAGTGAAATAAATAACTGGAAAGGATGGAGCCAGAAGTCCTTTAGGCTTTGGGAACGTCGCTGCTAGCAGAGCTGCGCCTCCCGTCGGCGTCAGCAGCAGAGGATCCTGTCCAAAAGCCACCGTCATCTGACCCGTGCTCAGCCTTCTCCCACGTGCTTGTTTTCTGTCTTTAATTCTGCAGTGCCAGGGCTGATGGTGGCAATTGATTGGGTTTTTCTGTGTTAGCTTGTATCCTCAGGCATCTTAAAGTCAATCTCCAGTAGTTGCTGGCGAGCCGCAGGGCTGTGCAAAACCCAATCACCGCTTTGCTCCCCACATGTGTGGCTGAACGGAGAGAATGGCAGATGCAGGTCAGGTGCCATGAAACATGTGAATACAAGAAAAGAGTGATCCGTACTGTGACGTCCCCCTGTTTTGAAAAGAAGAGGTTTTAAGTGCTTTATTCTCCTGAATCCCATGAGTAGCTGTTGAACACGGGAGCCTGCATCCTGCATTTTCTTCGGCTGCTTTCTGCGTTCGGGCTCCCTGTGCTGATGCTGTTGGGAGTTTTGTGAGCTACAGTCCTTCAGCATCTATTCGTCGACACCTGGGTTTTATAACTGCATTTGATAAGTTACAGTTTGTGCTCTAACAATTTATTTCCTCCTAAATGTTTGTGAGTGCAGTGCTGCTATAGATACTCTCGTAAGGACTTCACGTACACGCCGAGAACAGCGCTAGCGCCGAGGGGGCTGCCGAGGCTCCTGTGGCTTCGCCATGAACTTAGAGCTGCCGAGAGGGTAACGGGGCTCTTCATTTTCAACTGGCTGCTCAGTCTCTTGCCTCTGAACCAGTTGCCAGTTAATACCACTTCCCTTGGGTTTTCTTCTCGTGTACCAGTTTGGGTCGCGATGTTCACACTCCGCTTCCCAAACGGCGTCCGCTGACGGCGCGTGCCGCCGCTGCTCCCAGGGTTTGGAGAGGCAGCAGACAGCTCTTCAGGCAGCCTGTACCCAGGCGGCTGCTTTTTCCCTCCTCTGCTTCTGAAAGCTGAGACCTGTTAACTCACTGGCTTAAATATGCTCTTATCCTTTTCTTGCTGCATGTTGTAAATTATCCTGTCTTTTATGAATAAAAAATTCATCCAAGATAACTCCAAATCCTTTCTGATTTTCTTTCTCTCCTTCCTCCTCTATTTCACTTCTACTAATTGAGGCATCCAAGTCTCTGCAGTTCTTACTTTTGCTATACAAGTAATAAATAAACTAGAATTTACTTAGGCAGTGGGAGATCCGTGCGTTAACATGAAAGAGCTGATACTCAGCAGATGTGTCAGGCCCTTACAGTGACCTAGTTACTGCCTTCCTGATTTTTTTCTTCCTCAAATAAAATGCATTGAAGCTTGCAAAGTTTAGGTTTGCTTCGTGGGAATGTGAGGTTTGTAGGCAACTTAGATGGTGTAGCTGCTCTCTTATCAGATGTAAAAAGATTCCCTAATTATATTGATTTTTTTTAAAAAAAATATTGGAGAGAGTTTTAGGCATGTCTATGTTGTTTACAAACGTGCAGCTGTGAATCCAGCGGTTAATCGTTGGTGCCATGTTTAATTCTGACTCGCTGTGTCCAGCTGGAGATTACATTAGTCCCCAAACCTTCCCTGCTAAATGAAGGTATCGGTTTAACATATTCAAAGGCCAAAACAACCTTATTACAATAATCATGTTTTGGACTGCCAACTATTACCAGTCTGTTCCAGGTGGAATTATCTCATTTTATCGCAGATAGAAATAACTCATTCTTTAGGAAATAAAAATGGGCGTTTCCCTTTTATAAAAAAAATAAATATTTTTTTACTTCTTTATGTAACTCCCATTAGTTTATTAAAACGAAAAACTCCAAAGATATGTATTGTTGCTTCCAAGAAGGTAGTTTCCATAAAAGGCTGTGGTCTGTTACAGTGCCAAGCCCTGTGTTTGCCCCAGAAATCAAGCTGTGGTGTCAGGATGTAGAAACGACAATGGGATTGAGCAAAAAGCTCAGATTCAAGTGCTTTTTGGATTTGAGACATTTAGATCTGTGGTTTAGAACACTTTTTTTTTTTCCTTTTATTCTTCTCACTTTCCATGTGAGGATGCAGACACCTCTTTATAATCCTGTAATTCGCTAGAATTTACTTTTGTGTTTCATCTCACTAAGGCCACCTCTGGGGTTCTGTAGGACAAACCGTGGGTACTTTCCCTGCTGGCATCATTTCTATTTGTACTAAACCATTTTCCTTGATACGCCCCAAGAATCTAGGGCACAGTGCGGAAAACCCCTCAAGATATGGGTGTAATGGCTTGGACTGTGCTCCTGGATATCTAAAGCAGCGAGAGAATCAGATACGCGGGTATCGAGGCCCACGCTGCTGTGAACGATGCAGAAATAGGTCACACAGTCCTCCGGCGGCGATCGCGCGAAGTATTAAAGTTGACTTTAACAAACAGAGATCAGTCATGGCAGGGCACTGCAAACAATGAAAGAAACTGATACTGAAAGGTGCTTTTCTTTTGTTTGTTCCCCTCCTTTTTCTTACTTTTTCTCTGTATTGATGATCTTTATACACATGCTCACTGAGTGTTGGTATGTGTGAAAATTTCTTACCCGCTCTTTCCATCCTAGGGGGGCATCTCCCACCAGCCCACGGTAAGTTCAGTTGTCACTGCGTGACTCTTGGAGTAAACATTTTCCAGAGTGCTTCTGTTAATTTAACTTGCTACTGCTGAAGAGTATTTGACATAACTTCTCAAGAAATCTGTGAACTGAAAGCATTTCCCTGTGAAAAAACCAGAAATGTCTTGTGTAGCGACTTCTCTCAAGCGTTTATGCTGCGTAGATGTTGGTGTTGGCAGTTTGCGAGCTCGCACACTAGAGCGCACCGTGTTTCCCGCTGACCCAGCTCAGCGGTGGTGAACAGCTGGACGTGCAGGGAACATCTGCCCTGGCTTGAGGGTACGGCAGGCCGGGCGCGCGGCGCCTTGAAGATTCATCTGAGGGGTTTGATTTGCGACTAGACACCGTCAGATTCTCCCCCAGCTTTCCTCCCTCTCCTGATCTCGCGCTAGGCACGTGGAAAGAAGGTATCTGAGTTGTGATGGGCTGGGAGCACATCTTCCTGATACAATCAAAGCCGCTGAGAAGCGTTGTTGAAATCATGATATATTTTCTTTATCTTGCATGGGATGGGAAAGTAGTAATTACATGTGAGGCCTGAGGGAGTGTTGGTATAATTTAGAAAGCCTTTTTATTTTGAGGAGCAAGGGTAGGCGTAAACTCTATGCTTTTTTAGTAAATTTGTGATATTTTCTTAGTATCTGTACGTGGCTTAATATTCCTTGGTTTTATTAACACTGGGTATCTGATTGTGAAGAATATTCAATGGTGAAAAAAGCTGTTATCGGTGCCAGGTGTTTACTTTGTCTTTCTTTCTTCTGGTACTAGTTTTCTTCACTCATACCTTAATAAGTAAGATGCCTTTCCACAGGTTTCATGATTATATTTGTCAGGAGTTCAAACTGCAGTGCAAAACTTTAACTTCGCAGTTTCATATACGCTAGTGACTAACAAAATGGATCTCATGAGATGTACAGCATTTGGTTCTGAAAATTGGTACATAGCATTGAAAAGAATTTCCTGAAATAATTTATACAATGACTTCTTAAGTAAAATGACCTTTTATCTGTACTGTTAATTCCCTACTCCCCCTTTTTTGTTCGTCTTTGTCCTTGTTGGCACTGTTGATCTCTTACCTTTTTTTGCACGGTGTTTGATCGCGTTATTTTTATTCGGTTTTGTTTATGAGTGCAATTGGTTGGCTTTCAGACCATCAGCCCTTCCTCCCCCTCCAATTAGTGTCCTTCAGTGTCTTTCTTTTTCTTCTAGGTTCGTATGATGAAAGACAGCGATCCGTCCTGGAAGCCCACTTTCATTGTCAAACCTGACGGAGGGTGCCAGGGGGATGGAATCTACCTCATTAAAGACCCAAGTGACATCAGACTGACGGGAAGCGTCCAGAGCCGGCCAGCTGTGGTCCAGGAATATATTTGCAAACCACTGCTTGTGGACAAACTGAAGTTTGATATTCGTCTTTATGTCTTACTGAAGTCTTTAGAACCCTTAGAGATTTATATAGCCAAAGATGGACTTTCTAGATTTTGTACAGAGCCCTATCAAGAACCCACTCTCAAAAATTTGCACCAGGTTTTTATGCACTTAACCAATTATTCACTAAATATCCATAGCGGGAATTTCATCCATTCCGACAGCGTGAACACTGGCAGCAAGAGGACTTTTTCAAGCATTCTGTGCAGGCTGTCTTCCAGAGGAGCTGATGTGAAAAAGCTGTGGTCAGATATCATTTCACTGGTGATTAAAACAATTATTGCACTGACACCAGAACTGAAAGTTTACTATCAGTCTGACATACCAGCAGGGAAGCCTGGGCCAACTTGCTTCCAGGTAGGTTGGAATTTCTGCCAGGAATGCAGTTATTTCTAAGCATGGATTAGTTTTCTGGATGTTTAATTCCTTTTCTGTAATGAATGCACCGAATAGCATTGCGTGAGCTCAGAGATTCAGTTCTCCTCACCCAGGTTTTTACTGACAAATCTCAGTCTCCAGGCCTGTGTCACTGTAAGTCACTGGAGACTTTTCAGTGAGTATCAGTCGTTGGCAGCGGCGTTCGCTCCATTTTCCATCCTCTAGATGTTATAACTGTGAAGCTTTGTAGCTTCCTAGCGCAGCTACAGCGATGGCAGTTTTAAGACCTGTGTGTCGTAGGTGCTAAGATTCCGTGCGGTATTTAGAGATGGGGGTAGTGTGAGAGTAGCCATCAGAATCACAGATTGTTCGGGGTTGGAAGGGACCTCTGAAGATCATCTAGTCCAACCTTCATCCCAGCACACCCAACCACTACACCACAGCCTCAAGTGCTTGATCTACTTTTTTTTTAAACACCTCCAGGGTTGGTGACTCCACCACCTCCCTGGGCAGCCTGTTCCAGTGCCTCACCACTCGTTCAGTAAAGAACTTCCCCCGAATATCCAATCGAAACTTACCCTGACGCAACTTGAGGCCATTTCCCCTTGTCCTGTCATTAGTAATTAGAGAGAAGAGACCAGCACCAGCCTCACTACAGCCTCCTTTTAGGTAGTTGTAGAGGGCAATAAGGTCTCCTCTCAGCCTCCTCTTCTCCAGACTAAACAAACCCAGCTCCCTCAGCCTCTCTTCATAGGGCATGTTTTCCAAACCTCTCACAAGCCGTCTCTCAGCGTCAAAGCCGAATGGTTTCAGTCGTTATTCAGCCATCTAGCGCCGTTCTCAGTTCACTCCCGTTTGTCCCTCAAATGTTGGTTCCACCCGAATGCTGCTGTGTGGGTGACCATTGCATTTTCTAGAAGAACACTGAGTAGAACTGAAGTAACGTGTTGCTTGTCGTGCGCAGATCTTAGGGTTTGACATTCTCCTGATGAAGAACTTGAAGCCCATGTTACTGGAAGTAAATGCGAACCCCAGCATGAGAATAGAACATGAGCAAGAGGTAAGAACTCTCGACGTGATTGTGATACTGGAATGAAGTTGTTTAGGTTTGCTTTTCTGGTCTTTTTTCCTTGTTTGAAGGATGAAAGCTGTCTGCTGATATGAAACCTCCAAGGGTCTCTGTAATTATCTGCTTTGAAATCATTGCTAATCTTATACACTGGAAGTATGACTTATTGGAATTGTGAAAGCTCTCCATCATCTTCGGCATAAATACATTTATTCACCATCCCCTGCAGCTGACTTAATTGTGTTTAGGGGATTGCTAATAATTTTCTTCCGTGTTTGTATGCGTAATATAAATGGTAATATTGGTAACAATCTTTTCTGTGAATATTTCAATTTACTAGAGTAACTTGCCAAAAATTGTAGTAATAGCATACAGAGAATAGGAGGGTATTTGTATATCCTTTAAGAAGTATTTTGTAATCTGTCATTGGGTATTTAAAACATACATGACATGCATGAAGTCTGAGCAGATGTGGAATAAATAATGCTTAGTTCTGTACGGAGTAATTGTATCCCTTTCTAACTTAAAGCTTTCACCCGGAGTGTTTGAAAACGTCCCAAGCCCTGTTGATGAAGAGGTGAAAGTAGCTGTTATCAGGGACACTCTTCGCCTAGTGGATCCCCAGAAAAAAAAGAAAAAAGATAGCCAGTAAGTGTGGTGACTTGCTTTGTGTTTTTTTTTTTGCATCAGTGCCTTGCAATAATAATAAAAGTGAAATATTTTTTCCCAGTTATCCAGAACAATGATTTCCCAACTGTCTGTGTGACTCCTTTTGCATCGGCAGTATTAACTCTTTCAAAAAATGTTGTAGGGTTCTGTTTGGTGGTGTGGTACAGAAAGTACAGCGAGTGCTCGGGCTCAAGGAACTGAAAAGGTCTGCAAACTGATAGTGAATCAGGCTTTATCAGCTCCCCTGGAATATCTTACCTTTGGTTCAGAACTGGGGCAAACAGTTTAGTAACTTGGATTTCTTTATTTGCCCTTTTACTTGAGGCCTCTCGTATTTGAAACAGTCACGAAATGTAAATTTGTGTATTAATATGCTTGAAAGTCACAAATTACTCTGAATTAATCGCCCCATTGGAGCTGAAAAGTATGAATATTGTCTTTAGAAATTACTTCCTTGATCTGTGAGAATAAACATAGTTACATCTGTGATCTAGAAATGAGAGGAACTACCTGAAGCAACTTGCACCGAAATGCTTTAGGTGGGATCAGGCTGAGAGAAATCGTATCTTGGGTTTTGATGAAATGCCTTGTTTTAAGCAGTTCCTTGGAGATATGAAAGGAAAGGGAGATTTATTATTTTTTTTTATTTATTTTTGTGTCCCTAGAAATTCTTGCTTACAGTGCCACACATAGGGGCTGCTCAGGTCACTACACAGATTGTCTGTCAAGCGACTTACAGTGCGCTCTGTGTTGCCTGTGCTTAGAATTCGTACTTCAGGGTGTGGAGCTGAACTAAAGATCCGTTTTTAACTTGAAATTATGTAACCAGTTATGTCTTTTTTTTAATGTCAAAGTTATGTCAGGCATTCATTAAGTGCGTATTAGATATGGATAAAAAGGTAAATGATAATTAGAAATAAGTTCATGGAGAAATGCCGGTGTGTGTGGAACACTCACTCTTCTCTGATACACTTTGAGTACTAAATAATTTATAACAGGATTAGTTGGGGGTGAGAGAAAGCATTGGCTCTTCACAGAAAGAATTCATCAGCGATGCAGATTTTTTTTTTTTTTTTGGCATAATCTGGTTAACAGAGCATCTTGTTGATGAGTATTTGTGTGTCTTCACGATAAGCCGATCCTTTTTCTTGCTGCAAAGGGCAATGTTCTGATAACTTTCTGCGGGGATATACAGGAACTGCCTGCCCGTTCAGCTGAGATTTACCCCTTCTGCTTCGAGAACTTTTTATTGAACGGGGCATGGGGTGTGAAACTTCTTGAGAGACACGATCCTACTGCGAGCGTCAGGTAAAGATCCTCACCCTGATCCTTTTTTGGAGAGTTACAGCGAAGTAAAAGCGTTTGAGCGAGGATCCGAGCACCAGTTGCTTTTACCTTGTCTTCACTAGCAAGGAAAGCAAATTTGGCCTTTTAATAGCAAAAAAATCTGAAAGAATTGCTCTTCTGCCAGCAGCAAACATTGTAGACTCTAGTTTTGATGCTAATTAAGTAATGGACGTTAATTTAAGTAAAGTTTTAACAGAACATATTACTCTGAGTTTGAACACACAGGGGAAATACTGGGAAGTCTGAGCTGCGTCTCAGGTAAATATTCCGCTGTGGAGATGGATTTGATTTCCCTCTAATTATCTCCCTGATTAAAATAAATGAAGCATCTGAGTGAAAGTGAGTGTTAGAAGTCATCCTGAAGTACTTCATTATCAGGAAAGATTAATAGCTCCGAATTTTATTTTAGTTTAATTTTCCCTCATCTTTATGGACTTTTTTGTTATTTTTTTTTCCTCCTTCCTTTCATGTGACGTATAATACTGAAAAAAAGTTTGGTGGAATAAGATCAGATTATCGTGCCCTACATATCTCTTCATTTTTCCAACACAGTTCCAGTCTTTACACACACCAATCACTAGTAATTATCTTAGCGCTGCCGATAATTAGTCATTGAAAATCTGCAGCGATACAAGTTCGAATGAACGTACTTAAATACAGTTAGTGGCTATTGTGCCGCAGTATGACTGATCTTTTCTCTTAGCTTTAAGAATTTTTCCTGGCCTAAAGGAAGAGCCTTAGGGCAGCTCTGGGGGTTCCTGCCCTGGGTTCTGTAACGCAGAAGGTCAGTGGGATCTGGCTCTGCCTGACCAAGTAGAGACTGGGTAGCCCTTTCTGCAATTAAAGAAGGCAGCTAATTAGCCACGTGTCGTGTGTTTCATTCTGCTTTTTTGCTCTTCTTTAAAACCAAAAAATCCAGTTGAAAATGCGTGGTCAGGAAAAGAGGGTTTCCGATATTTAATTTTAATTTTTCCTGATGCAATTTTGCAGGGGCCAGAATGCAGAGCCCTTTTTGCCCTCGGTTTGGTTCCCCAGCTAGTCCTCTTTTCCTTAGGCTGTCTTAATTTAGAACTCAAGTTTCACTCTTATTTAAGAAATTAAAACATTTAATAAAATAACACGGACGATACTAACTCTTTGATTTTTGGTTTTGGTGGCAGTTCTGTTCTAGATTTTAAGGCTTGGGTGGCTGGTTGCAGTCATCCAGGCTGATGTCCCGTTGGAACACACACAATCGTTTGTCACTGAGCTGTTTGCTTGGAAGGATGGAATTTTAAACTGCTCTGTAAATCTGTTAAATAGTATCAAACAAAGCTTGCTCTCTTCCAGTGTTACTGCAGAGTGAATTCAGAGGGTAGTGATGGCCACTGATCTTGATTTCTTCTCCGAACATCTGTCACTGCTAATTTTGGAATAATCGTGGTGCTTTTTCCAGCTTACGTTTTTTTCAGTGGTGGGTCTCATGACTCGAAGTTACGATCTCATGAAGCCCTTCAGTACCAGCTGGTCATTGGAGCATCAGGAGGGAGCTTTCCTCCTTGAGTGAGAAATCTAATATTAAAAAATAAATAAATGGGAAAATAATGGTTTGTTGTGGTTTTTTTTTTTTTTAATGGAACATATTCAAAGCAATGTGTACTGGGCACCATGGTCAGAAAGCTTGACTACATCCAGCTTAGAGTGAAATCCTTGTCGTGTGGTAGTACAAGGCGAGGGGTTGGTCTGTGCTCCGTCGTGGTTCTGTGAAGAAACTTGTACAAAGCTTGCACAGGATTAAATTTGCTCTGGATTTACTTCTTGCAGCAGAGGTGCTGCTCGCAGCCTGCTGAAGGTGAGAGAAGGCTTCAGCTAAAGGAAATTTGCACAATTAAATGAATGGTCTAATGACACTGAACTACATTTAAAGTAAATCAGCGTTAGTTATGTAAACAGCAGTTTAATTAAGATAATCACTGATGCAAATCATTGTTTACATTGTGACTCCAACAGAAAATCCATTTTAAAGGGCTTTGCAAACTTCTGCTTTTTCGTGCCTCATTTTGAGTCTTTATAGTAGTAAAATGTCTTCATTTAGGCATTTGTTTAAAATAATAGTTTGCTAATAATTCAAAATTGCATTAGATTTGAGGAGCGGAAGGGGTCTCGGTCCTGTAGGCAAATGCCGCATGTTCTCCACGGGATGTCAGGTGTAAACGGTTTGGCTGGGGGTATAATTGCACGCTGCGAGTATCATCTGGAGCGGGTCCGCTTTAAATGTCTTTGGAAGATCACAGGTATCATCTCATCAATGCTAATGACCTGCTTTTCTATCCTCTCGAAAATATTTGTCCCCTAGTTTGATAGTGCTAATTAATCCAGCGATAATAAGAGACTTCTTTATATTTTTGTTGCTGTTTATTCTGTGTCTCAGTATGATCTTTTGCATTTACATGCCTAGTTTCTTATGTATTTCAAGACAGAAAATATGTATTTTATTCTTTTGATAACGAAAACCCAGTATTAGGACATGCTTATCGTTAGAAATATGAGTTGCTCCTGGAATAAAATCTGCTTTTTACTTGGTAGGGATGATGAAAGTGGAGCGCCCGAAGTAATACAATGACTTTCATTCACCACCAAAATAGCCATTGACAGAAGAAAGAAGTGTTTCCCCTTTGGAAATGAAATGTAATTTAATCTATGGCCGTTATAAAAACAATCAATTCATTGTGCCCACAAAAAGGAGTGCATGTGTTTTATTACCTTGTAGGATATTGCTGTTTCATTGCCAGTTCAGTTTTTCTTGAGTGCTGTTCTCTGTACGTACCACTCCAGTGCTTCTCCATTTGAATTCGGCCTTCCCATTTCTTTGTGGCATTCTGATTATTTTTTTCTTCTTTTAAAAATACGTCAGGTAAGATTCTCGTCTGTGGATTATGTGGCTCTAGCAAATGTCAAATATGATTCGCTAATGTTCTGAGCAGGAGGAACCCCGATGTGGTCTCTCTCAAACTTTTGCAAGATCAGCATGCAAACACTGACTAATGTCGCTCTGTTCACCCTGTAAATATTCATATATGTCAGTTTGACTTTTTTATCTATTTGTGTAGTTAGGGAGAAATTCCACTCAAGGTTTTGTAGAACTTACCGCACAAAGGATGTGTCTCTTTTTTTTTTTTTTTTTGCACAGAACAAGATGATTCATTTTTTCTACTGTGTGGATCACACGTTCTCGCTGTAAATAATTTCTTTCTCTGGTGTAGGGCAAAATTAATGGTTTCTAGGAGGGGAATGTGTGACCTGTATTAGACAAAAACTTAAATTAATTTCTGGACTTTTCTACTTATGTACTTTCCACTTTAAACGTAACTTACGTGTAAATGGCAGCTTCTCTGTATGTCTCCTGTTGTGCCAATGACCAATGGGTCTAACCTTGTCTGCTAAACTGCAAGAGGAGTGTGGGTTTGTGTTTAAACAGGCCTTTCAGCAATGTTTCTCTTTTTAATGTTTCAAAGACTTTTTCCAAATCCTAATGCTGTTGGTTATTTCTTGGTGTCAAGGAGCAGTTTTGTACTTCCTTGAAGAAGGAAGGGGGAAAAAGTCAGAAATCACCTGTGTGACCATATTCCATTTATTCTCCAGATAGTTTTTAT